GTAGAGAAGGTATAGTAGAGAAGTAGAAGGATAGTTATATTAAAACGGAATAAGTACAAGTATAGTATAGTAAGTAGATAAGTATTAAGTATTGTACAATAGATCTGAGTCTATGGGTATATGAGTGTCTGTTAAATCATCTTCTAGAACTTCCATCCCGTTTGGGAAGTTCTTCATCCACCCGGATTGCGTCAGCGGTGTGCCCTTGTGCAACCCTCACCCATTTCTTCCACACAACCTCCAAAGCTTGCTTCTGCAGACGTCATGAATACTTTCTGTGAATTATGTTAATTGTGCAACTGACGACTCTCATGATTCCGATCATTCTATCCTTCTATACTCTATAAACTGTACAGAGTACTCGGCCACAGATCACACCACGCCAAGCTTATCTTTCCAGAACCCCTATCGAAGCCACCTCCGCGCCTCGGTGGCAACATCCTTCTTCTCTCCTAATTCTCCCGAGATCTGACTGATCATTATCATTATCATTATCAGTATTATCAGAACATTACCAGCCATACAGTACATACCTTCGGTTTCTATCGCAAGTGCCCAAGTGTGTGTCAGGTAGAGACCATCCTGCGATCCACTGCGCGATCCACTCCAACACTCGATACTCTCGGACGATCCGCGAGACAAAACCGGTTCCCCTGTTGACTTTGATAGGGTCAGCCTCAACCAGTCACCTCGCAACTCAACTCTCGTGATCCACAATTTCTCCGTCGCTCTCGTCCTGTCCGATGGTCGGCTTCTTCAAATTCCTATGTACAGTGGAGTTGCCAAGATCCGTCGCATCAAGGTACACGCAACTACTATGGAGTTTGCGACATTATATTATGTTATTAAAATGCTCTGGATCGGTCTCTGGGCCGACAGACTATATAGTTAGTACACAAATATTAGATAGACTGACTACTTGTATACGGAGTCCTGATGATACCAGTATATTCAAAACTCGACTCTATTTACAGATATTCACAGAGTACAGAGTATCAACATCTAATATATAACTAGTGACACACGCCAACCCCAGAACCCCAGACAGAATAGCTAGCTGCATGCTCCCCGCCAAACAAACAAGCTACTAATTGCATGATAACCCATCATGCAATCAATCAATCAACCATTCTTCCCCTCTGACACAACATGACAGTAGCCTACTCCTCCAACGGAAGAATAATAGGCCCTGACAGGCGGGGTCAACCACACCACCACCACCACCACCCTCAACCCCAGCGGGGAACGGAGGAACAACAACCTTCTGCAGAACAAGCCACCCTCTCTCGTCTAGACCACTCGACCACTCCCCAACCCATCCATCCTCCGCTACAACGGGCGGGCGGGCGACTGGCCCTGGCCGACGGAACCGTCAATCCAAGACATAATATGACCAGTCAGGTCCGACACGGTCTGGACACCCGTTGTCTGACCTGG